GGATCTAAAAGAAACAAGACTACAGGGAGGGAAGAAAGAGATGGAGTTACTTTTAATACCATCTGTGTTAAAAGGTATGATCACGATTATGTTTTGCTCAGTAAAAACATCTTTGAGTGAAAACTGTGAATCTGTCACTGCAAATCATTCAGTTACACCACAGTGCTCAACAAAATAACTGTGCTGCTAATCTCTTAAGTGAAGGCCACGAAACGTCTTTTTTGTCTTCCTTTACAAACACTGATGTTGCAGCAGGTCTGAACACAATCATACTGAGGTTGTAGGTAGTGATTATTTTAATGCAGTAAAGCTTGAAGACAAAGAAAGCAGTGTTCCAAGTAAGTACGGTAAGCAAGCAAGTTAAGTAAGAAACTAAGTATTGAAAACTACATCCAGTTAAAGTGGCACTCGTATTTTTAGCTGCAGCTGCAAGACAAAGATAAGACAAGATCCATCCATATTGTCCTCTCATGGTACTTTTGACGCTCTTAAGAGTGTGGATAGTCTTTAGCAGAGACTACAGACTGCCAGCATGCTGAGGTGCTGGGAGTAACACAGGGATAGAAAGAAGAACAAAGATGGCGACTTGTTTTCTTGCAACAGTGCCCTATTAATAACTGGTGATATTGTGGGAATTCATTGACCCCTCTGTGGTGACCCCACCCCGACAGGTTATTTCCTGTCCCTGGATCAATGCCCCCTAGCTCTAATCCAAACAAACAGCCAATCACAGTGAGTCCAACCAGAATGTGGACTTCCGTCAACATTTGTCACTATCAGACATCCTTCTCTCTTAAAAACACAAACCGTTAAGAAAAATAACTTCCCTTTTTAATGTGTGGCAAATGGTCATGAGGGTGACAGTAAAAATTAAAATGATGTGAGGCACAGTTCGTTAAGGGGAAAAATATGAACTCCTTCTTGTCAAAATGTTTCTGTGTGAATGACTATTATTGTCCCACTGCCTGCATAAATAACACCAACTAACAGTGAGCTGGAAGGAGAAATCAGATGGAGAAAGTAACTTACCGGTGGTTGAGGTCCACCGTCTTCTCTGTCCAGACTCCCTCTAGAGCTTCTAGAGTCTGGTTTCTAAACACACAAACAAATAAACATACAAATAAAATCTACATAATTCAAGTAACTAAGCACTAGACTTGTTTTATATCAATTAGATATTAAACAAGGCAGATTCAAAGCTCTATATTAACACTTAGGAAATAGTTTTTCCAATTGACACAAAAGTCACATTGCTTTTATTTGAGTGTATTCAAAGGAAGTATTGCAGTTTTATTCCTGGGAGTTTTTCTCCAGCTCCAAATAACATGCTGTCGGAAGACTGGGGCAATACAGTATACGGTGCAATTTGAGTCACTTAAACCAGTAGATTAGAAGTCATCTTGCATTTGAATAAAAATAATTTCCCATCGAAAAACTGCCATGTAAAGCCTTTAGAGTGAAAGACTAAATGGAAATAAAAACACCCTTAAATTAATAATTAAAAGACAGTTTATATTCTACTTTGATATTTTAAAAAGGGAGAAAGTGACTCCCAGCTCTTGAAATCAAAGTTGAATCTGAAGTGTTACAATGATTATGTGAATGAGAAAATGAATGAGTGAAACACAGCAGTGAAACTCACATTAAAAATAAACGTACTAACTTATGCATCCAAAACAAAGTCTCCGCATACATACTGTACAAAGCTGCAGGATCCGAAAGTGCAGGGCAAACAATCCAATTTAAGTAAAACATTTGAGGTTGACAAAAATCCCTAGAAAAAACGCCAAAATAAAACACACAAATGTCCCCCACACACAACTTTCACGCGGTCTACGCGTCGCCTACCAGTTTTCCAAGACAGGACTTGAAGACCAGCATTGCCCTTGAGTTCATCAAAGTTGTCTGATGAAGCGTTTGTGTCCGATTTGTTGCGTCTGTGTTGCTATCAGCTTCTGATCTTACTGTATCTCTCTCTATAGGCCCGTGTGCCTCTATGACTGTGCCAGTAGTTTCATCAAGACATGAATTCAGATATAACTCCAGCTTCCTGCCTGCAGCACACTTATATCTGACGCATGGAGAGAGGGAAGGAGAGGAGGAGGAGGAGGGAGGAGGGATGGAGCACGCTGCCAAGGAGCCGTCAGAGTGTAAGTGCACGTCTTCACCCTTCTTTCCCAAACTATTCTGTTTTCTCCCCCCTCTCTCTCGCCCCTCCCTGAAGTGACAGTGTTATAAAAACCAGCCAGCCTCCAACACACACACTCACATAAATATACGCCTTCCTAGCTTTTCAGTAATCTTGTGTGTTGTCAGTTAGTGGTTGTGGGTCAAAGACAGACTGTTGACTGGGCTGTCAGATTGTCTAAGCCTATCATTAGCTTGGAATTCACACAGGCCACACCTGCCTTCAGACTCTCTCCCTCTCAAGCATGTACAATAAAATACTTGAGCAAAAACCCCAGAGACCCTTCAATCAGTGTTCACAGAAAAATGCATCCTACATGAAATCGTTCTCCTTCACCTCCCCCTCTTTTTGTCAGCGGGTCTCCATCAGAAGCAACTAGCTCCATCAGACAGCAATACACACTACATTCATTTTCTTTGTATGATAATTTTACTAGAATAGTTAGCTGTAATATTGTATGTATGTAAAACCATAGAGCTGAGAATCACACACACTATTAGATATGTTTTTTCCCGAGGTCGTTTGAATGTACCATATGTTTGATGTTTTTCCACTAAATGTTGTATGTCTTATTTATCGCAATGAAAAAAAAGAACATGTTTTATAACAGCGTATCCAAATGAAGTTGGTGTCTGGTCACAGATTATTGTCTTGCTTTGGCTCCAATAGGAATGCAATGCAATACTCGTAACCTCTGAGGGAGTTAACTCATAATGATATGTTAATTTCCAAAATGACTTTAGTTTGTTTTATATTTATCAAATGTATGGAAATGTGATTGTCCTTGAGGAGCATGTGATGTATTCCAGAGAGTCCATTAACACATGTACAAAAACACAGCAACATGCATCATGGGACTTAAATTAAAAGAATCAACAGCACAACTGACAAGGATGGCAAATAAGAGAGAAAGCTTTGCATCAACAACAACACTTCCCCATGCACAACAATATCTAACAAAAAATACTTAGGGATATTAAAAATGTAGCCATTCACTATACTCTACCGTTTTTCAGTGAAATATATATATACGTACCCTCCATTGTTTTATAATAAAAAAGGATGCATCTGATCTTACATTTATTTGAAGTAGTAATAGAAAAAATCTAAATGGTCTTATAATAAACTTGAATGACATTGTCTAAATCTTTGTTTACTTGCCTCTGAAGTTTATGCTAACAGAGTTCAGAGTATCAAACAAAATCTTATGTTAAATGAACCGTTACATTCTTAGTATATGTGTGTCTGAGAGTGTGTTTTCCAATGTGAGTGTTACCAGCAGCCTTTCTTCCTGCTCCAGCCACCTCTGGTCCTCCTCCATCTGCTGTTGTTGTATCATCAGCTGTTCCTCCATAAACAGGCACTGCTGGCCTACACACTGCTGCATGTCTACTGCCCTGTCCTACACACCGACACAAACAAACACAGTACAAGCATGCAACAAAAGACAAGCATAGCAACAGACGTGCACACCAACACAGGGACACACAGAGACACATACACCAGACAGATGAGAGGCTGAACTGAGATGATGGACACACACTGAAAATAATGGGTGTAAATGGGCCATAGAATAGGACCATTTAAATATAATATTGTAAATGTGTGCCCTGGACTCATTATGCAGGTGGGGCTTTTTATTCACTATGTCTTTTGAGGATGTACAATTATCCTAATAATATTGAATCTTTAAGCGTTCGACTGGTATATTCAATATTGTATGACTGTTAACACTTGAAAATTATATACTTTTAAATAACAAACAAAAACAGCTTTATAAAAATACCATGTTCCTGTCATTGAGGGGTAATGAATGCAAGCTAGATGAATAACCTGCTGTGTCTTAACCAAAAATAATAAATATGTGTGAGTTTAAGTTGTATCCTCTTAATTTACCCGTGTGTATATGTGAGTGTTTGAGTGTAAAATGAGTCTCCTACCTCCATCTCTGAGCCCCATAGTGCCATGTCGTGTCCATGCGGAACAGGAAGGTGCTGAGAGTGTGTGTGGACGTGGTGGCGGGGGTGTGTGTGCGCGTGGTGTGTGTCCAGCATGGTGGCCTGTGGCGGGTACAGGGCGCTGGGCACCGAGGGGAGGGTGTGAGGGCCGGGGTATCCTGCCATCTGATCCAGAGAGGGAGGACGGAGAGAAAGAACACGGTTAGCCGGTTTTCAGTTCTCTTTTGATTACATCTTCACCTTTGTTATTAGTAACTATAGGTCATTTAGCACCCTTAAATCCTTTCAAATGTGCTATACATTATATCTTTCAATGTTATAATTGGTGGACAAATCACTCAGATCCTTTACTTAAGTAAAAGTATAAAGACCATCCTCTACAAATACTCCTTTAGAAGTTAAAGTCCTGAATTCGAAATGGTACTAAAGAAAGAAAGTATTTTGAGAAAATTGTAATTTGAGTAAAAGTAAAAAGTAGTATGCAGAATGTCTCTTTCAAAAGTTTAAAAATGATTATAGAATACAATATTATATTGTTTAAATAAATAAAAAACGATGTAGTTTGTCAATGCAGAGCGGATATGAGGTACTTTGAAACAACTGGCTGGGTAGTATTAAATATGGGTGTATTACTATTTTATATCCCAGTAAAATGTTACTTTTATATACAAAGTCTCTGCCACTGGCGTACCTGGTAGTGTCCAGGATGTTGGGGACTGGGATAAAAACCTTCACTGGAGCGAGGACTAGGATATCCTGGTCTGCTAGGCTACAGTCGGAGAGAGAGAGAGAGAGAGAGAGAGAGAGAGAGAGAGAGAGAGGAGAGAGAGAGAGAGAGAGAGAGAGAGAGAGAGAGAGAGAGAGAGAGAGAGAGAGAGAGGAGAGAGAGAGAGGAATAAAAAAGACGGGGGGAAAAAACAATAATACAGTTAGAACACTTGTCCATCGTTTTCCCAAGATAATCGTTAGAGGACGGGACACCGGGGTCATTCAGTCAATCCACACACAAACCCCTCGGTGCGGTTTGTGTGGCTGGGTTAGCTGTCAATCAAAACAAAGGGAACACCCACTGGGCTGCAAGTCCAGCAAGCTGTTAGTCGAAATGGCACTACATAGTTTCCCTATGTTACAAACAATGAAATCCAAGGATTATTGTTATAAAGTATGTGATATTCCTGTTCTACTCATCCCTGGGGTCTGTGGTTAGATGTGATGCAGAGTGTACAAGGTGTTATGGTTGCAAGTTCACCAAAGACTTCTCTTTAAAGCACAGTTGTTCTTCTTATTTGGAAGTATTTGTGTTGAAAGGGTTAAAAAGTAATGTAAAACATAAGAAATTGTTTTACTATCTTGTGCCAACTACTGATGGTTAAAGAGGAGCGTGAGTCGGCTTCTTGTCTCTATTTGATTTGTATTCCTTTGCATTGGGCTAGTAGCTAAAAACAGAAGTGCTTGGTGAACCCACACCCTTGTTGCTTCTCTTGGTTTCTGGTGATTTGTTGTGATGAAGCTGTTGAAAGTTGATGAGCAGTTTCCCCTCTCTTTATGATTACACCTCTCTAACACAGAGCTCATTAGCACAGCAGTGATGTAACCTCTACCTTCCACAGGCTCTCATAGTAGCTTTCTCTGGACCACACCTCCGACAGCAAGACAAGACACAAAGACACACAGGGAGGGAGACAGACAGCAGAGAAAGACGGGGAGGGAGGGAGAGAAGGGGAGAGAAAAGGAAAAACAGTAGGAAGGGAGGGAGGACATAGAGAAGCAGACAAGACAGAGAAACTAAAGACCAGACAAACAGAGCGGCAGACAGAGGGAAACGTACAGCATGTTGTGAACATGCTCACACATGGAAGGACACAGGGCTCCTTCACAAGAACAAAATGATATCTTAAATCGTCCCGAAACTGATTCACAGGCCTGTGGTAGTCTATCCAAGTAGAGGGAGGTTTACCGGGGAATACCCAGTTTAAAAAGGGCAAAATAAACACAGGGACGACAGACAGATAGGAAGGTTAATGAGGAAGTAGTTGCACTAGGGTAAGACAGCTATGGGTAACTATCTGTTCCACTTTGGATGAATATTTGAATGTAAGAATGAATGGCTAAATAAATAAATAATGCAATGTTGAAAAACGGTACCTGCTTTTTTGATAGCTGAGTTTGGGGTCCCTGTTTTTACCACTACGTCAGTTTAGGGTGTATTTTCAGCATCTGATCAAAATGTATATCCATGGCTTGCCACAACACATCTTAATCCACAGGTATGTGGGACACAGACTACTTTAAAATACACATTTTGTGTAGGGAAAGGTCAATGTTACCAGATAAAACTAGGCATCACTTACACAACCTGTATTTATATTTACAGTACTGGTACTTATCTTTTTACAATCTATTTTCTTTAATCTTTTTCTGTTTGCACACCATGTGGTTTTTTTGTGCACTGGGACAAAGGAAACTGACATTAAAGTATCCATTGTGTCTTATATTTGGGGTTTTAAGAAACTGTTTTTAAACACGGCGCTTGACAAAAGAAAATCTGTTTTTCATTATCTTGAGCATTTTAACTATTTCAGGGCAGTATCTTTTGTAGACTGTAATTGCGATTCCTTTCAAAATGAACTTGTTGTTGTGAGACACATACTGCTGTTACTAACATGTAGACCCATGGCATAACTCTAGGAAGAATTGTAAGTATGTCGAGCAGCACAATGTAATTAAGGTTTTCTTTTGACTTCATGTATCACTCTGGGGCACAATTCATCGACTCCCACACATTCATCCATCCTCAGAAAACAGACTCACAACAGGAATTTATTCCAGCTGTTGTAAAGATTTAACATGTTATTCAGCTAAGGGCCAAACAGAACATTAACTAAAGGCACATCTTATTGTATGCAGCTATTTTTGTTATGTTTTCATCACCTATGGCACCAGAAATATCTTTGATTTCAGCAGTATTTCCTATATGTTTACATGAAAGTGTGTTTTAAACACTTTATAAGCATTGAAAGTAATACTTGTTTCCATGTAGGAGGTAGGGTGAAGTTACAGCTCAGTGGGAGGACTAAACGCTCCTTCCAAAAACAGGGTCACCTATCAAAACAAACTCATGTGTAGTACTACTGGCCAGAGGTCAAGGTGACAGAGAGCCAGCTCTGAATCAACAGGCTGGTAGAGACAGAACGTTGAGGTAACTCTTAGAGTGTATTCATAGCAACTGTTTATCCTAGCCATCACAAATAATTACAAACTTCAATTTGACTTAATTCAAAACAGAATGTAGTACGAGTTAAACTATATCAAATGGTTATAGCTTTCCTCCTTAACAAGGCTGAGACCCGGTTCTGTGGAGTGGAAAAGTTGTTGAATTATAGCAGCATTAGTTCTGGACTTTGGGTTCCCCCTAGAGTAAAGAAAAGTATTTCACGTTTTCTTTTGACCTTGCTCTATGTCATTTTAGTTTGATTGAAATGTCAAAGCAGGTTAAAGGTAGTTTAGACAAATGATGCATATTTGTCTTCTGGCTTATCCATGATTTACTGTATCTAAGTCCTACGTGTGTGCAAGGTGTCTGACTGTTGGTCACAGGATTTACGATTGATGTGGGGCACCCTGAACAGGCTAGAAATAGGTTACACTAATCCCAGGTCACATCAACACAATGCCTGACACAAACATAAATATCTGAAACTACATTCAATCACGACAGAGGACCTTCAGCAGCATGTCCAACACAAATAAAACATGTCATGCAAAAACATGCTCATTTTAAAAGTCACTGGTGTTGTCAGCATTGTTTTAAAAACCACTGCACTCAGTTCATCAATTCAACGATTCACAAATGAGTTTGCGCTTGTTGATTCATTCAACAAAAACCGTTGCAACATTTCTTAAAATATGTGTAGTTCAGACTGGGCTTATTTTTGGAACGAATGTGGTAAAGATAAAGAAGGAAATTAGAAGGTAAGGAAAGTCAAGGGACTGATTGCAGTGACGCACCAAATGATACTTTTAATAAATAATACCTAAGAATGTCTTTATTCTGAATTTTAAACGTTAATTGTGTAGTCATGAATACTTCATTAACAACAAATCACTTAAAAAAATAGATTGATAAGAAATTTAATTTCAAGATTCTTTATGGTTGAATGCAGTTATTGTAAGTCACTTTGGATAATGTAATGTAATGTTAAATAGATTACAGGTACAAAAGAGGCCATTTTTAATCCATCCAATGTATCAGCAGTCTGTAATCAATTCTTTGAATCTGGAATTTCTTCCCTTGGATATTCATCAAAGGGGCTACACTCTTGAATGTTGCAACTTTTTTGATAAAGACACACACGTTTGTTTTAGTAGTTATAAAAACAGCTTTAGCTCAGGTTAACAGTACACCACCTGCCTTCGTGTGTCTTTCAGAGCAGGGGATGGGGAAAGCTGTGTTGGTAGCTACAGGGAGGCGTGGCATTCGACTGGGTGGATGGTGGTGGGCGGAGGACAGAGAGCAGGCAGAGGGTCTCGCTGTACGTGGAAGAGTGAGGGGGGCAGGAGAGACGAGCGGGGGCCTCCCACATGACTGCACAGCAGGGTGTTGGTGCTGGGGGTCACAGTCAGTTTGTAAAGGAGTGCTGGGATTAGTTTTGCAGCCGGGGTGAAAGCTGCGTGGCAGAGTTAGGGTTTTAGGATTAGAATTTGACTCTGGCTGGATGTTTTGGATGGTGTGGGGACAAATATTTGACAGGCTGCGGGGAAAAGAGTTTAAGTTAGGACTCGATTGGGAGAGGAGTGGGGAGGAGAGCCAGGGATGGGAGATGTTTGACTTTGGCTGGGATGAACAGAGCAGGTGACCGTTAGTGGGGGGATTTGTCTTGTCTGGACAGCTGCCATTGGACCAGCTCTCTGAACTGTTGTGAGGTGGAAAGTAGAAGTTAGGATGAGACCGTAGGGATAAGCCGGATTTGGATTCAGGGTTAAACTTATTGTTGCGCTGAGAGGAAGTGTGATTGTAAAAAGTGGAGTTTTGAAAAGGAAGTGATTGAGGCTGAGGGTTGGGAGCAGAGGAAAAGTGATGGGGAAATTGCAGAGATGATAAGTAGAGCGGAGGAGCGGGTAGGTGAGAAGAGGTGAAGGGAGACGAAGGATGAGGGTTTCCAAGGCAGAGGGAAAGCTGTGAGGCAGAGCGCTGGTTTTGATGGCAATGGTGGAGAGGTGAAGGAGCAGAAAGACAGTCCAGACTGAAGGTGGGCTGCAGGGAGGGGCGACGGCTGGGCTGCAAAAAGATAGACAAGGGTAGAGGACGAACACAAGGAAATAAAAAAGGTATCATAGAAGATAGAGATATGTAGTAGACAGGTGAGACAGACAGGGAAGAGCTGAAGCCAAGACTGTAACCAAAGCCATACAGCAAGTGTGCCTCTGAAGGGCATAACATGTTTTACAAACAAGTAAAAACCTTTCCCTCCAAGCAAAGTATTTACATTAATGTTGTTCTCAATGAAACAAAATGCAGCATTTACTAAAACCTGCAACAAAAAACAGCATGATTAAACTAGCAAATCTCTCAAACCTAAAACTACTCTGCAACACATATGGCTTTAGTTATGACCAAGAGTAGCAGTTAGCAGATGCTAACAGCAGGGGCATGAGGGGGGGCAGCATGAGAGGGAGAAGCAGCCAGCAGCTGGGGAAACAAGCTGTGAGTTGGGATGGCGCCAGTGGGGGTGGTCATTATGAACGAATTAAGAAGTACATATATGTTTTTCAGGAAACTGATCATCATTACACATTTGAAGGTAATGGTTTAATTTTATAAAAAAATAAAAGCAAGATAATGATCCAGTGCTTACATATGTATATACTGTAACACAAATCAAATATGTCTCCCTTGTTCTAATATACTAGAATGTTTTATGAACAATAACCTTCCCACTGCAAGATCACCATAATACGTGATCACAAGAAGAAATGCCTACATTCTGTCAAAACATAAGCTTTTCAGATAAAACATATTCAATTTATCAAAAACATGTCAATGCTGCAAAAGGCCAGAGTCAATGGACCCACATTTGCTTATTTATGTGAAAGCGCATTTCCCCTATAATATGGAACTGTAACTACATGCATCAAACATTCCTTGAAAAGTTGTGATTCAAAAGCATGAACATGTATAGTTTTCAATTTGATCATAGTAAGGAAACCATACTTTACAACTGACTTCAGAAATAATTTAACATTACAGGGGTTCTGCAGAAACCTTGCATGTTCAAACTAGAGGACTTATTCAATCAAAGAGTTACCAGTTGAATAATTGTAATGTCTCGATATTAAATGGTGAACAGTCACAATCAAGTGTGATGCAGCAAAAACAGACAACAGAAAAGATGTCACCAACTCAACATGGAAGCATATCAGAGAGGCTAACGGAAGAGAGCATGGGTCACAATGATCAGGGCGTTTCATTGCCAACAGTACAAACACAACAGACACTTTATTACTACACCTGTTGCACTGATACCAACATAAACACACACACAGACACAAACATGTGGTGTGGTGGTGCCTTACTTTTGGTGGTGCTTCATCAGACCCTCCGGAGTCCCAAGATACAGTGACCTGCCTCCTCATCTCCATCCTGCTCCTCTCCTTCTGCTGGAGCTTCTCCTCCTCTAGTATAGTGCTGGAAAAGAGAACAAATACACAAGATGATCAAACACAAAACAGTACTGGTACCTTGTTGAATTGATTTTGATCTACCACTGGAACATACAAAAAGAAGAACTGGGAGAAATAAGTAGATAGTGTTGTCTCTGTGACCACCTACAGCATAAATTAACATTTAGTATTCATCATTAATACATATTGTAGTTATCTTAAACAATATTATGTACAGCATATTCTGCTATTGTGTTAGAATAGATTGTAGCTTTATTGTCCACCAGGTTGGAAATGTTATATTGGCTCACCATAAAAACCAGGCCATCAGTTAGTAAAAAACACATAGAAAAAGACCATACACAACACACATTAAACAAGCCAATGAAATCATCTTAGTCGCTTTAAAAATGTTAAGAGTAGGCTATGTATAATGTGTACAAGTGTATAAGGACTTAAATGAACCAGCCAGATGATGAAAATACCTACCGCTTACAAAATGTACTAAATGAAACAAGCAGAACAACAAATACCTGACCCAATAAAGAAAATATGAGGTACTGAGTTTTGCATGTATTACTTTATATCCTAGTTCACACTACTATATAAACACATCACAGGGTTTTTGCAAAAAAACTGTCAGCTTGGGTGGTTTTCTGTCCCCTAGAAATAAGAAAACTCATAGACTCTGACTCCATGAACACACACAGCATTAATGATGTCAGCTTATTCACTGTGTGCTGCTGTGACACACACACTAACTCAGGCATAAGGGGCATTCATCCCACTCTTTGTACAGAGCATCAAAACAGAAACTACTAACATCATAAAAGGAACAGATTCCTTTTTTGGTATGACATGTCTTGCTGCTAAGGCATCTACGCCAAAATAAATTGTTTTACAGCAACTCAAGTAATACATTTATGTGCATAAGATTCTATTGAAACACATTCAAGTTTAAGCAATGTCCCACGGCCCAAACCCAACACTTTTTAAGGTCTTATTTCGCCAAAGATACCACACTGAATTTACCCGCTAAAATGATCCTTACTGACCTGTTCCCTGGGAAAACTGCTGCTGAACCAAACCTAGACTCCCAGAGGAACGGGCTGCTGCTGGTTCCTCACACACAAGACTGACTGGATGAACAATCCAACACACTGTCACACACTCTTTCTACTCTCCTTTATTCAACAAGAGCTATTTCTGGTAACAGCATTACCCTTCTGTTCTTATGTATCCCGCTGTGTGTGTGTGTGTGTGTGTGTGTGTGTGTGTGTATGTGTGTGTGTGTGTGTGTGTGTGTGTTCATGCACCTGTCAAAGTCAATCTCCTGTCAGCTCCTCTTCCATCACAACACACATATGTACAACAATCTCAGTTTTCCACTAAATTATTAAGCAGTTAAAACACATGAACACAGGCTTAAACAACTACAATAATCAGATAGAAAAAGTCATACAAATCTGAATATTAGTTTAATTAATTATTATTATTATTATTATTATTATTATTATTATTTCGGTTTACATTTCCCATTGTTTCTCTTGATCAGCGAAAAAAAAGAAAGAGTATTTAAAGGTCACCTATTATACAAAATCCACTTTTCCATGTATTTGATACATAAACTCTGTGGAAAGAGATTCTGAAAGTTTCAGGAAAAAAGATTCACTCTCTTTTTGTCCTGATCCATT